TGTTTTGTTTCCTTAAAGAACCTTTCAGTAGGTGGTTGCATAAAGAGACATTTTTTTAAAGTGAGATGTGCAAGTTTCAAGAACCTTGTTAAAGTAACACTTTCTATCAATGCCACATTCATAACACTTTATAATGCGTTCATTAAGCATTATAAACATGGCTTTAAACATGAATAATAATGCATTATATCTTATAGCCATGTTTATTATGCATTATAAATTAACATGCTTTGTAAGTAGTGTCGACGTTATATTGCCAGTACTAAAGAAATTCAGTCCCAGGGCATTATGGCCAATGAACCAGAGATGTGGTTCAGACTAATTTTAATATTCAAAACAGAATTAAATTAAAGTGACAGACTTTTTATACTTGCCATTATGGGTATAGATTATTGTTGATAGATATATGGCATATGCCAAGAACTTTTATCTTGTATTTGTGAGCTCTAAATAAACAGATATTTTAGACTAAAGGAACATTTATTAAAACCGCAGCATTTCCAGTGTTCCAATCTGGTACTAAAAAATTAACTTTCAAGCACCTACAGAGGGTGAAGACTGGGAGGTAAATGTCTTAGCATGTCATTATGACTAAGCAGGTTAGTCATACTGCATTATGCAAGCTGGGACTGAGTTTCTTTGGCATTGACAGCACAGAACACTACTTGTCGTAATACTTTGCAATACTTGTAATGCTTATAAAGCATTACGTTAACAAATAATGATGCGTAATATGGCTGTAAAATGTAATGGATTTTTATAAACATTTATAGCCATGTTTATAATGTTTTATGAATGCATTATAACATGTCATGAATGTGTTCATCATTTCTTATAGACATGGCATTCATAGAAAGTGTTACTAAACCTTCCACATAATGTAAATAGATCTATACCAATTAAAGGTTTTTCCTCTAACTGTACATCCAAGCTAAGAGCCACTTAGGAATAATTTTTTGTGAATCCTCTTACCCAAAACCAACATCCCAACATCTCGTCATTTAACCATGAGGAGCTATAAATGCACCATTATTATTAAATAAAATGGCCTCTATAATTCCTTAAGTGTTTCTGGGTGTAACCACACCAGCAAGGTTGCTGCCAGATGCAGTGCAGGGAGCAGGCAGAAGGCTGTGGTCGTCCGTGCTGCTGTTTTTACAGGGCGATTAACGCTCATTATGAATTGTACATTGCCAGGAGGAACAGTAGCCGTCTTCCTTCTGCTGACACATAAGGGCCTCTGTAATACTCCAGATGCGCAATCTCACTTCCAGAGGCCAGCAGACAGCTGAGGAGCATGTGTGTGTGGCCGTGCATATGTGTGTATTTATGCAGGAGTGCTGGGCTAAGCCCGCCTCATTCCCTTGAGACCATGACCCCCCTCCTACGTCTGCTTCCAGGGTGTATGAGGGTGCGGCAGCACAGAGGCCATCTGCTTAGAGTGATGCATGGTGGGGCGGCAGACCGGGCCACGCGTCGCCCAATATGGCGAAGTCCTGCATCAGCGAGTGTCTGACCCCACCAACCTCTCTCCACACGGTCAAGGTCAACTCTGATCACCACAAGGCAAACTGCAGAGCAGACAGGACTGTCAGTCCCCGCTGCTGCACACTAGGGAAATGCCTACTACTGCACTGCATCTCCATGATCAGACGACGTGCAATGTGAAGCGCTTTCTGGCATGAGTTTTTATTAGGGATGCATCGGCACACATGCTGGTATCAGGTATCGGCCCGATACCGTGCTCATTTACTTGTACTCGTATTCATAAAAATGTATCGATACCACCTGATACCATGTGACATGAGTCTAGTGTACACTGCCGTGCTGGCAGTGAGCAAGGGTCTGTTCACACAGAAAAGTGTTGCTGACGCTGTGGCTGTCAGACGTAAAGTTGTAGTTCCCTTTAAACATTCTGCCTTGGCATATTTCTGCCAGACACACACTGTATTATTTTTGGCTCATTTTAAACCCACAATCATAGCCACTTCCCCAATACACGTGGAGACACGTAGGCTAGAAAAATTGCTACCAAAGTTTTATATTCGATTTTACTTTTTTTTCACTGAGATTTTTACACTATGATTTTTTTTTTAAAAACAAGCTGTAGAGCAGGCATGTCAAACTGGAGACCTTCCGGACCAAAGTGCTGCGGAGATTAGCGTTTACCCCCATCTAATGCTCTGAATTCAGTTCATGAAGGCCTTGCTAATTAGCTGATGAGCTGAATCAGGTGTGTTTAATGAGGCAGTGTGCCAAAGTCTGCAGTGTTTTGACCCGCGAGGACTGGAGTCTGACACGTGCTGTAGAGACACTGTATTGTCCTGCTGTGTACATCACTGCCTGCTTTAGTTTCAGTGCTCAATGTTAGCAGAGCTGCTCAGTTTCTCTTTACGCAGTATTCGGTGCGCAGCGTGTTACATTGAATGAACCCACACAATCACAATCACATCCACTTCCTCTGCGATTCATGTAGTATGTCAAACGGACCGAGCGTTTTCATATGTTGTGAGCGTATTAATCATAGGCTCTGTCAGCATCCCATGGCCTTTTCAAACATGCAGTGTGTGTTGTCACTAAGGAACAAGATTTCTAAAATCGCACAGTGTATGTCTGGCTTTAGAGGACATTCAACTACAGCAACTACAGAGACTGTTGTTGAAAAAGACAGATGAGGATCAAAACAGTGAAACGTACAATACTTACAGCTTGAAGCGCTTTTCTGACATAGAACAAAACCCGCTTTTCTGTACTGCAATGCCACTCAATCCAAGGTAACTAATGTGACATAGCTAGTTAACACATCATGTAAGATCAGCTAGATTTTAATGACATAACTGTTAAGATACATTGCACTCATTTACACTAACTTAATTGAACTTAATTACTCAGTTTATGGTTTGTTTTTGATTGTCGGGCAGTAGAAGACAAGATGGAGAGTTCTATTGCTTTTATATAACAGTTTTACAAAATAATAAAAAACTATAGCCAAGACTCCCCAGATTGTTTTTGCTGACAAAATAAGAGTTCTACCTCAGGTGGCATGTTGCGATGATTGTTGTTTCTTAGCAACCAGTGGTCAGTTGAATGATAAAGGTTTGGTGGAAAAAACATGCTATGATCAGATATAATGGCAAAAGTAGAACACTTGTCAACTAATCAGATGCTAGTTGTTTCATGATCGATTATCCGTGGACTGTTATTTGATCAATTGACGAATCAAAGGCTCATTAAAGTATTGCCAGTTAAAGTATTGCCATCATTCTAAAGCCCTGTCCTGTTTACTGCACTGTTTCATTTTAACATTTACAAACACTTTGATGCACCCTTAGTGTGGCCTTTGACTACTGCAGTGATGTGGACTCTTAGCCAAAGTTCATAATGGAGAGGTTTGATTACATATAGTCTAGTGCAGATCTCAGAACGAGAACGTCTCATTCCTGAGAAATTTAAGCTAGTGATAAAAGTTTTCTTACCATTGGCTACATGTAGCCTCTGTCATACACAATTCCCACTCAAAACTAAATTGAGCTGTATTTTTGAAAGATTAAGTTAGCTAACGATTGTGCTTCACTAGCTTGCTTGTTTGTGTTATGCATTGCTCTGGACATTAAAAAAGCACAGACTAGAGGGATTTGGGGGACAGGTTTTAGAGGAGGTGTACACATGTGTTAGCAGATTTTGCATTGATTAGCACCGCAAGTTTAATGAGTTGTCCCCAGACATGTATTCTTATTATGAGATTATGTCTGGACCTGCAAGACTAGTTTACAGCTGTATGACCAGTGTAGTGGAGCTAAAAAAACATTTGTTTGTTAATTTAACTTGTCATTGAGCTGTTTTATGCATGTTATCTAATACTGAAACTGTGCAGATAAGCAAATTAACAAATGTTTAATAAATAAGTATGACTGATACATGTACGTATATAGCCTGTGGAATGCGCATGTGTGTTCCAAATGCATTTTTTAAAACTAGCACATGGATTTGTCTTGCCCACTTCTGCACATGTCAGGTAATCTTTGAAGTCCTGTTTCTATTTGTTTTGTTCTTAATGCATTTAAAATGGACAATCCCTTTGGCCCTGGGGTGCCCAATCCTGATCCTGGAGATCCACCACCCTGGGAATATGCCACCGAAGAACTTCATTACCTGGATCAGGTGTGTTAGATTAGAGTTGGAGCACACCTCTGCAGGACCAGGATTGGCCACCCCTGCTCGGACTACTGTGGATCCATGAAGTTCTCCCTCTCAATTCTAGAGTCAACTGTAAATATACATTGTGCACTCAGAGCAGTAATGGCTTGCCACAGCCCGGTTCTGCCACACCAGTGCTCAGCACAAGAAACCTGAGGTGGGACTCAATCTGTTTTACAAAGTGGGGAACTGTGGGTGGGGATGGGGATCAGTGATGTGAGCCGGTGCTCCAGGCCACAGCAGCCTTTAGAGCAGATGCTGCCCAGTTGTTGAAGTTGAAGCCCGAGGTCCATTCTCAGTCTGCTGAACGAGCAGACGGGAAGAGCGGGAGGGAGAAATCTGGTGCATTCCTGTCATCCTCAGAAAAGGCTGGGCAGATTAGATTGGAGCTGACAGGAGTGGGGATATTCAATTAGATTGGGCATGTCACTCACGAGCTTCGATCCACATCTGTACCTGCCCCTCCCCGACATCTTTGTGTTTGTAATATGGAAAGCAGACGTGAGCGGAGAAGGACCTTGTGTGTTTACTTTGGTCTTATTCTACTTGACCTCCATCTCTGCATATTTTCATAATTCTAATACATATGTGATGTCAAAAGTCAGGAGATGTTTTGTTCTCCATGTATGGTCAGTATATGTGTATGTAATGGATGTTTTCCCAATGATAGTAATACTTAAAAAAAAAAAAGAGTTATGAGTTTGAACCTTTTATTATATTTAGAAAATATTGTAATGCTGGAATTGCACGATTAGATCATTACATTCAGATGATGAAATGCCGCTTTCTCTGTTTTATTCTAGTGAAACAAGCAGTGTGTGCAGCAGTGACCCTGGTCTTTTCACCAACGATGAAGGAAGGCAAGGTAGGATATTGAACACACGTTATATTTGTGCCATTAAAATGTGTAATATTTATATAGTGATTTGAATATGAATATTAACAAAACAATGAACGTTTCTTTATTGTTTGCTGTTTCATTTTTTAATGTATTTTTTTTTATTTGAAGACATACAACTACATGCACTTCATATGCACAATACAGCCATGCAGGAGAAAATATTGCATTTTTTTTTCTCTTCATTGTACGAGACCCATAGCGTGTACTGCAGTGTTAGGAAATGATCAGCTGAAACAGTTTTATTTGTATTTATGACATTAATGATATTTTGTTTGCTGGATTACATTACAAGGAAATGAGCTGTCTTTAAAAGGGGAAAATGAAAATGAATAACATGTAATACGCAGTCAAATTTGAAAACCAAGTGATCTGTGAAAGTAAATGCAAAAAATGCAAATTAACAAAATGTAATCACATCACAGAACAAATTTTCCCTGCTACTTATTTCTGTTTATTTCTTAGAAAAAATGAATACAAATGGTGGTGTCAGAAAATAGAAAAACGATGTTTAAAGACGTGTCTGTAAATGTATTTTGTATATAGTGGGATGTGGGTAAATTGTACAGTGAGCATTTGATTCTGTGAATGCTGTAACTATTTCTAATACCGTAACAGTTCATTCTGCTTCATGCATAACATGGATCATGAACCCTTCGGCCTAACCAAACCCGTCATACCAGAAAATGTTCTGTAAAGTAACAGGAAAAAGCACATGGGATAATGTCGCAGAGTAGGGTTGGTTGCTGTGGGTGGCAGTTGCCGGGTGCCCATGCGGCTCTAATGAGAGGTTGTCATGTAGCGCTAATGAGCGCTGAAGGCTTTGCTAATCTCATTAGCTGTGGTGGCACTAGGCATCCTCTGATTTAACAGTTGTCACTACACCTTGACTGTGAGAGGCATGGCCTTGCCGTGTGGGTGACTGACGGGTCCGTGGAGAGTACTGCGTCTGAGTGTGGTGTGTGTGTGTGAGGTGGGGTCCTCTTCTTGCTGTTCTGAGTGGTGCCCCGACAAAGCCCTCGGTTGACCCAGAAGTCATACTGAGATTGCACTTCACTTAACACCATTTGGCACCATTTGAGGGCATGTGCATGAGTAATTGAAATGTTATGTTGCCAGTTATGATCCTGTTGTCTCTTGAAATTATTCATTGGACAGAAACACTGATTCACCAATTAGTCTGTGCTGTGGAGACATATCTGTGGTGTAACAATAAGGCAATATTAATTAACAGGTAATGTAGACTATAGGTGCACCAATTATGAATTGTTATGCCCAATTCTGATTCTGATGGCTGATTTGTTGACCATATATATATGGTAATATAGTTACCATATAATAACCAATTGGGCTATCTTTTAATATTACTTAATAATTTATAATGATAGCTGTATTCTACACAGACAGCATGCAGTACTGTTGACATCCAGAAGGTCCCTTTATTCACTTGGTTGGAAACCAAAATACTGTCAAACTGGCATCCCTTCTGGACAAGCTTTTAGAATATTTACAAGTGCCGTTTAAAGTATGTATATGTGTAACTGATTAGTTGGTGATGTTAAAAGAATGCTAATTTGCATAATATTGGTTTTAATTTAAATTATTGCATAATTTAATAATAACACATCACCCCAAGATTATTAAATAGTTCTATTATTATCTATTATCTATTTATCTAATAGTTCTATTTAATCTATTTATATAGAATGAATCAAATATAGTGCACTGGTTATTCAGCATAATGAGTCATGCATATGTATGCTGTGAAATTTTAGTGTAGATCTAGCAACAGCATTCAAATATTGCATGAGTACACTTACCTGGCTCACGTTATTTATGTCATAAAGCTCTGAGACACTTTGCAAAAATAAAATTAAAAAAAAAAAATCATAAATTGCTTGATTGCTGAATGTGTGTTTGGAGCAAAAATCTTCTACCTCCAACTTCTTGGCTGATCCGGGCTGATTATGATCGTGCAGCCCTGGTATAGACCATGCTGATGGCATTAGTAACAATATAAACTGTTGTCAGTTATGGCTCTATTGTCTATTGAAATTATTTGTTGGTCAGAAACACTGGTTTACTGATGTAGCTACACTGAAAGAATGATGGTAACAGTAGAACGATAGAAATGTATGTGGTAAATTTATATTAAGAGCATCCAAAAAGCAAGCAAAAGTACTGTTTTCCACACTACTTTTTTGGAACATTCACAGCTGGCAATAGTAATACAGTAGGAAACATGAAGCTATATGTGTTTTGTTTTTGTTATTTTTAAAACCCTCCCAGTTTGTTTTTAGTTAACACAACATTAAGAGTTTGCACAGATTGCTCCAGTACGATCTTCTCCCTGCAGGTGATGATGAACAGAGTGACTGGTTCTTTGAAGGCGAGTGTGTGTCAGGCATGAGCGTTCAGGGCTTGCGGTCCAGCAGAGAGTCAGAAACTGCCCCCAGGCCTGCTGGGCTGGATGCTAGGAGAGAGAAGAGTCACTCAGCTACTTTCCTCCAGCCTGCCCGCCCCAATCAGAGAGGTAGAGCCAGCCTCTGACAAAACTGTGATGAACAATTACTGTCAAAATAATTTAGAAGGAAATACAGTGGCCCAAAAATTATTTGGACACTAAAAACATTTAACTGTTGCTAAACTTAAACTAATATTCTTTCGATTTCTTCGTAAAATGTTTAGAGAAATTATTTAAAACACTTCTAAGGCAACATCAGAATGATGCTAGATTCTTTGTGTTGAGAAAGCCTGAAGAAGAGTTCCAACAAGACTGTACTGAAAATCATGTATGAGGCTGTTTTTCTTAAAATGGCGTTCGTGAGCTTGTGTTTACTGATGGGATCTCAAAAGTGTACAAAGGCAGTTTGGATGCAAACCTACAGAAGTATGGAAATAAGTGCTAAAAAAAACAAACAAACTGTAACACACCGACTGCCTTTGCCAAAACAATTTAAATAAGTAACTAAATAAATAATAAATAATAAATAGTAATAAAAATTATGGTTTTGAAATGGTCTGTTTAGAATAAATGCCACTTTGTTTTTACATTTTGTTCCTAACACAATGAAATGAATACATTTTTAAGTGACGCAAATGTCCAAGTACTTTTCGGGACCATTGTATTACTAAGCATATAGTGAATATATCATTAATAAACAATAATAAAAGCAGCATAGACCATGTTAATGGTTGCCGTTGGTAACAATATATACATGTGCTTTTCATTAGATAGATGTATCAGGGATAAAATGATGGCAAATGGCATCAGAGATGGCAATGAATATGATGCTGAAATGAAAATGATATTAATATAAAGATAACATTATCTAGGGTACAAAGAATACTTGCAGTCAACAACAGCATCTTCTGTTTTCTCTCTTTCTCTCATAACTTCTCTCTGAGCATCATAAGCGTATGTGTTGCAGGTTATCATGCCCGTCTGAACCGTTTGCCAGATGTGGCTGCACGCTGCATAAGGAGAGGCAGGAGGAGGTTGCCTGGCAGGGTGAGGCCTGACTGTCATATTATAAACATGTTATAGGACCTGTAGCACACGCTGCTTTTACACTGTACTGAAGAATCCTGGCATTACTCTATTAGGTTAGAACGCTCTTTACCTCTCTGGCCTGTTAAACAGAGCACTGATTTTGTATTTGTGTCACAGGATAACAATATGGCTGTTTTTGTGGACAAAATGAGGAGCTACCCACATGATTCCTATCGGAAAGAGTAAGGCTTTACCCTTTCTTTTTTACCTTGCATTACGGTTAATCAAATGAGAATATTAATTTCAATCATAATAAATGAATGAATAAAAGAATAAATGAGTGAATAAACGATTTCAGGTTTTGGTTGCCTTCCTTTGGAAAACGAGACAGAAGTCAGGTATGACTTATTTTGTCAATTGCATCAGCCTGTCCTGTTTTTTTTTTGTTTTTTTTTGGCCTCCATAACATTTGCATACTGAATATGTTTGCAGCTGAAGCCTCTGTGTCCGTTGCCCATGTATCCTATTGGCATGGTTCCAGAGAGCTCCCTTCCCCGGTGCTCTTCGCCTATGTGCAAAAGCAGGTAAGTGCTTGCCTGTAGCCATAAAATACATCTCAAAATAAAAAAATCACATTAGCACTGTGAAAAGTTTCAAAATAAGCCATGCTTTGCTGGAAGAATTATTTTTGTCATTACTAGAAGAACTTTGTGTTGACTTTTATTAGCGCTTTTGTCCTGTCACAGTAAAATAACTAAGCTTTGCTTTCTGTCTCTCTGTTTATATCCACTAAACACTCTTCTAAATTATCATTGAGGCGAGTGGCAAGGTGAAAAGCTATTGTATTTATGCCAGTCACTTCAGAAAAACCTCCCCTCACTGTAGGCGGGATTGAGCTGGTTATAGAACGTATCAAAAAGATTTTTGTGTCTCCTGGGTGCGTGGAAACCAGCACTGAACAGATTTGCTGTCAAAGCTCAATATATTGATGGAGCATTTTTTAGTTAACTCCTCCAAATGAACCGTGCATAGAACAAGAGGGGCTGTGGGGGGGTGGGGGCTAGGAGAGTTAACCGATTTGACCTGTATGAAAGTTTCCACCAGGGTCAGTGTGTTTTTGATGTGTATAGAAACACTGAAGTGGACATCTCCCTCAGGACTGCAGCTCAAACTGTGACCTTCTGATCTATCGGGCTTGATATGCATGAAGAAGTGTCTGATGTGACAATGTACTGAGTGTTTTCTTATGGTCACCATACATTTAAGTAAAGATAAGAGTCCCATCCATGTTGTACAGTGGATAAGTTGTATTTGAAAGCACTCTAAACTTTTATGCAGTAGTAATTTGATATGTGTCTTGGTTGTTAATCTACCTTAAATGTTTAAGATGATGTTACTGCTTCATTTGAAATAAAAGTAAAAAAGTTCTTCCTTATTTATTTATATATTTATTTAGACTGTCTGTCATGGTATGTCAAAGGCAAGCTTAGAGGCAAATAGCCGCTCTCAGGGATGCTCGTACTTATTGAGAGTTTAATTGCCCCAAGAATGTTCGACTTCACTGCATTGTGCCTTTGGTGCCTATTTACAGTGCATTCTTAATTCTCTCCCTCACTCTCTCCCTCTCCCTCTGTCTCTCGCTCTCCTGGGCCATTCTAAAAAGCTCTCCCTCTTTCCTTGATGAGGGGCAGAAACACGACGCCAATGAAGCGGCCGCACTTCTTAGCGCTCTCTTTCATACTCATTGCCTTTCTTCTCCACCTGAAAGGTTTCTTCAGATTGGAGTTTGAAGCATGTTGAATACTAATTTCTATCTATTAAAAGGCCCTGGTATCATTGCCATGCTCTCATTTGAATGCTGTACTCAGGGGAGGCCTCTTAATTCCTTTATAGAAGAATTCAAGACCCCTTTTACTTCAAAAAGTATAAATCATACTCCCAAATGAACGAGGGAGAGAGGGGATTCGTGCGTGGTGCCTCTGATGTGTCCCGTCGCTTAGTGGCAGCCGGGTTGAGCTCCCAAAGCTGCTCAAATCCGGCCTCTGGGGGGAAGACATGTCTGTCCTCCTGACCTGGGCCTCCAGCAAAGCTCCCAGCTGCAACAATGAGACACTCAACATATACATATGTGCAATGCATATAATACTGATAGAAAGTAGTGACTGTCTCCCTCGTCCTGCAACTACAGGAGAAACTTTTTTTGTCACAGATGTAGTCATACTTATTAAATTTCATTGACCCCTGAAGATTTAATATTCCATTATGAGTCAGTTTTTGGGAGTGAGATTGGGACACAGCCTAACACATTTTTAGTTCATAATAAAAATTTGAGAAAGATTAATCATTTTGCATGCATGCAATTCACACATCTCTGCTACAAATGAAAATGTAAATTTTATGTTGAGCTGCTACTATTTGTACACAGTTCAGCTGAAAGTGGTGTGAGTGTGACAGCTTGCCCCCTAGGTGGGGTTAATTGTAAAAGACCGAGGAGTGAGCTGCAACAGTCTCTAGAAAGGTCTGGTAGGTTGATGGAGAGTTTAGTCCTGAGTTATTTAAAGTAAACAAGCTTTCCAACCTAATAAAAATACCTACATATATGGTCAAATGCAAAAGTCGGGGGACCCATTTTGGTCAAATAAAGTGAAACTAAGTGCACATCTTTAACAGCAAACACAATCTGCACATTTTGATGCACAATCACTTTTTATTGGCTGACACATTGGGGTAAAAAAAGTTGTGGGGTATTTCACTATTACTTTTGCATACAACTGTAAATATAAATGATAAGTGAAAAGAAGCTGTGTCAATCTATTTTTGTCAAATCTATATTTTTCATTAATCCTTGAGTCAAAATGAAACTGTTTTGATATGGGAGGGATAAGGACGTCAGTGTTTAAGCTAACCCCACCATTTGGAGGCTGTACTTTAGCTGGGCTAGCTCTCACTGTAAGTTGGTTATAAACATGACAATTATGTTATTACAGTCACCAAGAGGGTGATTAAAATTATACAGGTGGGAAATCTGTGACACAGTTCAGTAATCAAAAAACACGATAAAAAAAAGGTTACTCTTATAGTACAAAAACATTCTCATGGTGGATTTTTAGAAGTAGGCGTCTGATTGCTGTGAGATTTGCAGATGATGTCATGGTAAAGTGAGAAAATGACCAAAAGCATTATCTTCTTCAATTTCGTGAACTACTTATGTTATATTTTACCCTGTGTTAGGTTGTCTGTTGGTTCTCAATTGGTTGGTGACTTCAGATGTCCAAAATATCTTCTTTTGGCTTGTGTGTGCATAGATTTGAAAACAGTAAAGTGGTCCCCCAGAATTTAAAAACGGTCTCATGAAACTTTTAATAGCAGAAATTATGATAACTTTATTTGTACAGCACCTTTAATACATCAAAATTCAGCTCAAAGTGCTTCACAGTGTGTCCAAATAAAACAGTAAAACAATGTAAATAAAAGTGACTTTTTGTTACTTAAAGGACAAATTTTGAGTATTAAACATCTTATTTCTACTGTTTATTCTTAAGCTCTTCGATCGGCCCTGAGTAGAATCCGATAAAAATCCGTTTTTATCTGAAAAATGTATTTTGTGTTCTTGATGAAAAGAGCATCTGGATATTTTTCTCTATTTTTCCCAATCAGTGTGCTTATATCATATACAGTAGAGTGAGTGTTATTAGCTCTCCACAGCTTGTTTTTTATGGTTGTGATCCTGTGGGAACAAGCGTCAGGCGGTGACAGATCGCCCTCTAATACCTCACACTCCACTGCCATGTTAAAATGCATAACCGCGTCCCACCGGCTTCTGCTGCACGCAAGTTTTCTCGATCGACTTTATTTATTTCTAAATGACATTCGCCGGCTCCAGATAAATCATAGTCCTCCAGCACTCCTCTTGCCTGCTTTTCATTTTAATTGTGAGATCTCGATGTCAGCAGTTAGTATATTGGTGTGAGTGGCCTATTGATTATTGATTTGCTAGCATTGATTGCAATCCCAGGGGACCCTAATCCTTTTTGATTCATTTGAATACCTCTATTCATCTTAAGATCCTCCTCACACCTGGAGTGCCCTGGAGCCTAATGAAAATAGATGGCGGTCCAGCAGCTAGCCGCAGCTCTCGTGCCTTTTTGATTTATTATTTTTAATTGATATATCTGCTTTGGAGGTGTGGTCATGCGAATGACGATTGACCCTCGTGTCAGTGTGTTTTTTTACTCAGTGCCTAGGGGACCAGCGAGCGCTAAAAATGTTAGAAGTGTCTTTGGATGACTCCATTGACCTTTTGAACGAACTTTTCTTTGGTTTGCCCCCTTGTCTTTGGTCGTCAGTCAAAGTTTTGTTCTCCTAAATATTGAGGCATTTGCCTGTGTTTGAGAAATGCACAGCAAAAACTTTTACACAGCATTTAATGAATCCCGTCCTCCAGATACTTTTACTCCATCAATAAAAGCTTTCTTTCTCACACTAAAAGCTTTTAATAGGACAGTTTATTCTGTGAGACGTCTTTATCAGCCAGACTTGGTTAACACAGAATCCATCCACTTTGTTATAAAATTTATACAAGTGGTTTTCCATAAATTACTTTATTGAAACCAGCTTGAAAAGTAACTGTCAACTGTTATAGCATTATATCCCTGTTATAGGGATGCATCAATACTGATACTGGTATCGGTTATCGGGCAATACTGTGCTCATTTACTCGTACTCATAAAAATTCACCGGTACCAAAGTTACGCTTCCCCAATATGGGTGGAGACACGTAGGCTAAAAAAACTGAGATGAAAAAACCTCATACTTGGTCTGAAAAAAAAAATGGTACCGATGCACCCCTATTGTCTAACAGTAGTTGGATATTAGCTTCACTATGTATTGTACAGTACTGTGCAAAAGTCTGAGACCACCCGGCAATTATGTAATTTCCAAAAATGGTCAAAAAATGACCATTAAATACACATTATTTTTTCAGCTTCAGGACAAAAAAAGTAGAAAACATTTAGTGTGTCCACCCTTTGCCTTTATTACAGCTTCCATTCTTTTCAGTTTTTCAAAAATATTTTTCCACAGTTCAGTCTTAGTGGTTGATTGCATTTTCTGCTTCTTTTGATCCAAGTAATCCAACATACGTTTAATGATGCTGAGTTGATTTGTTTGTTTTTTTTTTCTTTTTTGTCTGTTTCCTCTTCTCAGTAACAGCATCTTAACAGCTACACATCCTTTAGGACCCATAGCACTAAGTTGTGGACAGAGACACCTGTGGATTTTTTCAGATTTGAAGCAAGAGTAGAGCATGATTTTCTCTTTTCTCTCATTGGCAGTCCTATTTTCTCTATAACCTTTAATCATTTTTTGAATTCCAGTTTTAGAAACTCCTATTTTTTCACTTATTTTCCTTTGACTTCTCTCTTTCTTCTGCAAGTGGATTATCTTTTGTCTAATCTCGTCATAAAAATCTCCTGAAAAAGAGTTGTACTTAATAGCTGTTTTGCCTGGAAATTAAATAAACAAAATGCACAGTACTGTAGCTTTTTATTTATTTATGTTTTTTTGTATTACTTAGAACATGTCAGGCTATTTCAAATATAAGTACATGTTTGTTAACCCTTTGTCTTAGAGGTTGAGGGTACAGATGCAGAACTTTAAGCAGCGCAGAAAGAACCTGTAGACAGGAGAGTCTCTCCTGAGCGGGGCCGCCTCTAACGGTCTGCCAGAGAGAACGAGACAGGGAGTGCTGGGGAAAGCGGGAGAGACGGAGGGCCATAGCCCTGTGCATTAGACACAAGCGCATCTGGGTATTACTTTTAATACCGGCCTGGGCAGCAGTGAGTGAAATAATGTGGTGTTTAAGCGCCCATTGATTTTGGAATTAAAAAGTTAGTTTGCAAAGATTTACTGTGGGGAGTTCAATGGCTGAGCTCTTTATCAGTGCAGCAAATGGCTGGTTATACGCTGTCCGACAGAGCTACGATTGAGGGATCGATAGACGCGTGATTTACTAACTGGGCTACAGCTAATCAATAAGTATAAAAGTAAATGAAATATGCATTACGGGGATTTTATTAGAGAGGGGTAGCAGGCGGAGAATACCGGTCAACCATTTATTTTTATACCTATTGATTATACAACATAGAGACTTCGCTCAAGCCCCCCTCCCAAGGTAGTGCACCAGTATCATGTGATTTATGGCTTTTGAGGTCAGGGAATGCACAGGCAGTTAAAAGGTGGCTGTGACAGGGCCCTATCCACACACATGTGAGGTGAGGGGTTCATATAGCTGCTAGAAATGACCTACACTTTGGCAGATATCAAGTTTCTGCTGCTGTTGTTTAACACGTTAGTCAAGTGACTCAAAAATGAGCTTTAATGTATATATCATCGCTGTTGAAACAAAGTCTCTGGAATGATTACAGGAGAAAAATGCTCTTAACTTTAAAGTGCATTAAAGCATGATAAACTGTATTTTTGTTATTATTGCAGTATGAATTTCTGGGATAAACAATTTCATGATGACAGAACAGATCAAATTACTTCACATGCGCAGCACCAGAGTGACATAATTCAATTGTCAGGAATGTAATGTTAGTCCAGTAACTGCTTCCCTGCACAGGACTCGAACCGTGGTCTACCATGTGGTAATCAAGAACTTGCCATTCAGCTAAATGGACAATTACAAACTGTAAATGTGCACACTCTTTTCTCACTCCTAGAGTTGTATCTACGATGTGTGAAGAATTAATGTCTTCTGTTACAACAAACCTGCATCACCATAAGGAGCTTTTTAAGGAATTAAATATATATTTAATTGTTTTTTGTAGTTTTTTGTAGCCTAGACTGTTCTTTAGACTTACTGTGCAAAGTAGTTGCAATTTGTAATAGTGATGTAAGTAGCTTTAAATATTTCAGTATTTTTATTTTGCAAAGTAGTGAATGGTGTTTGCAGATTAGTAAATTTGTATTTTTGTATTTTTGTTATTTGCTTAAAGAAGAGGTTATATTTCTGTTTACACAGCAACAAAAAAATCATTATTAATTGCTTCTCATATCATTATGATCTCCAACAGCTTTATCGAACATTGCATTTTACATTCTTATTATGTAGCCCTAATGTAAAATATTTCACACTATTCCAAGTAATTTTAGACCACTTATCTTGGTCAGTTCGCCATGAAATGTTCACACAATTGAAAAGCTGACATAAAAATGTTGGTGAGAATTCAGCTGTGTACAGTATTTCTCATGGGTGTGTGTACTTCTTTCCTCTTACTGAATCAGATGATGTGTACACTCACTCATATACACCCATCAGCTCCTAAAGCATCAGCCCCTTCCCCCTCCACAGAGCAGAGGACCTTGACCTTAACTTTACATCCCAGTAATCAGGGTTCCCTGTGTGAGGGGCTTCTGACATATGACACAGGGGGGTCTGCAGCCAGGGTAATTTGTTTATGTGTACCCGGCAGCGACAGAGACACACAGCCCACACACCTCCTTTTCCTCCACTGATATTTCTGTTAAAACTCCTACACTACATCTTACTGCTTTCTGCCTTTAACTGCTGCATTTCTCTGGGTTACCCATAGCCCCAGCTCTGTTTTTCTTTGTTTTACTAGCTTCGGTTTCTTCTGAGTGGATAATTACTCAGCCTGGCAGTTCTCAGAGGACATGATCTTTAGCTATTTTACACTACATGTTGCCTATTTTCATTTTTGGAGCCCAGGACAGTTAGTTGTAAATAATCCATTATATTAAAAACATAATCGTAAAAGTTTCCTAATGGTTGTCTATCTTTTTCTTCTCCAGTAGACAGCCTAATGTGCAAATGGGATTGCTGTGTGCAGGAGACATCAAGAGGAGGAGGAAAACCACAGCTGTTCCCACCACCGCTTCAGGTACTGCCCACTGTCATGTCCAGATTATTAAAACTAATTAAATTACAATCCATAAGACTTACAGATTACATTAGAAAATGATACTTCAACAATACTAGAAGCTAACAGTACAAATTTCACGAGGAGCCGAGTATTTTTAGCTAATATTTCTACTTAATATTTCCATAGTGAAGTTTTGTACTAGTCAACAAAAACTGTTAAAACTGTGCTATGTTAAATTGAATAATGTAATATTTTGCAATAGTGCCACACTCATGGACAAGTCTTTAAAAAATTTTCTTTGAATTTCTGACAAATGTGGTATTTGAGTTATATTAGAGATCTGTGTTTTTGGCTTGTATCAGAAAGTACCTCATTTGCTAAAACATTTTGTGAAAATTCTAATCAGTGGAGTTTTCTTATGTTCTAAGCTTCATACCTCACCTGAAACCTCCACTGAGGCTTCCATATGTTTTCATTCAGCTTTTGATTTAGAGTATGTCTTATAGAGAAATTCCACAGATATTCCAGACAAAAGAAATGTTTCATGTATTTTCTGTGATTTCTCTAAAAAGGAAAATAAAACAAATAATCAGTAATGACTAGAACTGCACAATGTAATTATTTTAAACTGTCATAGATAGTAAATACAGTCCAACCCAGCAGAAACATGGTTAAGATGATATAGATCCTTAGTTCATTTTTTAGCATATGTGACAAAGATGCCATGCTGGTGCAGTTGATGCAATTAAGAAATGTCAAGAATAGTGATGCATCTCTTGCTGTTAAGAGTTCCTCAAATTCTTCTCAGAATTATTTGATACAAAAGAAAAAACACACTCTAACTCATTTACCTCGACTGATGATTTAGTTGGTTCTTTCCGTTGCTCTTAATTAATCGAATATCAGTGGTCTGTCTTGTGTGGTTGGCAGCTGCTTGTTGCAAAAACTTTGGCTCATGTTTCCTATTCATCCATAGATGGTGGAATTAAACTGAAGTTTGGAAAACTGCCCATGTACTTTTATTGCGCAAGGGTTTTGCTACGTGTGACTTGAACAGTTACTGTCCGGTTAAAACATTTTCTTGTTTAGCTAAATTCTTCATATCCTGAGGTAAACTCGCAATTTTGATATTCAAAAATGTATTTAGGACTGAGAACATTAATGCTTGTTTGTGTGTGCATTTCATAGAAGGTAGAGCTGCATTGCCTTATTCAGCAGTGTTCTATTAACCATTCATTGTTAATAAAAAGAGCTAGTAAAAAGAAACATCTACTGGTTTAGATCACAGTGGGTGTATTGTCTATTCTGCTGGAATAACTGAACGTATATAGGTGCAACTTGCATGCAGTATCTTTTATTGATCATTACTAAGGGTGTGCCACAAGGCTTTATATTAGGACCTATATTATTTATTTTAAACGTTTGTGCTGAAAGTGTCAGACATAGAGTGAAAGAGTGTGCTCTAATTTTGCTCCTTTGCTTCTACTGTGAAATAGGTCATTTATAATCTGCAGAATTCTTTTTGACTCCCGACTGAACCCTCAACTGATGTTAAATGATGTGTGTGACATTCTTCAGGTTCCATAGTGCTGAGTAGGCATGTGCGTTAGTACTTTGAGTGAAATATAAACAGATGCGTCCATGCTTTTGAATTCCTTGATAGTTTGATACTTTGATTCTTTTTGTAATCATTGCTGTCATAAACAAATTGTTATATCTCCAAAAATCGTAAATTTATAGGAGAAGCCAGAACATTTTTAATGTTTAAGGTAAGTTGAAGTAATTTTGAATAATTCCCATTTATCCATCATCCTAAAGTGTTTGCACAATGTAAAGGGCAGCTGTAAAAAAAGACTTTGATGTACTTTACATCAGTATCAGAGAAAGTTCCAGAAGACCCAACTCCATCTATGCAGTTTTTAACTGCACCTGTGTTTTTATTTATTTATCATTTTTTAAACCTTTTTTTTATTCATTTCAAATAATGGTGATTGCATCATATGCATGCTTTAAAAGTTACTTGCAAACATGAAAATGGAAGTGTTTGAAGTTTGGGTAATATAAATTCCATCATTACATGTTTAAGTAATACATTCAATGCACTTTTCAATACATTTTTCAAAGGGAACCCCATTACAAATGTGATCTGATAAGCCTTGCTTGTCGTGACCAGTCCCAGAAAGGGGAAGATGACGAGAAGGGGCTGGAATTGGAAATGGTGCCAGGCATCAGCCCCTCGTCCGTTTGGGCCGGCCCGCCTGCCTTTTTTCATTAGACTGATGGTTCCTGGGTACCTCGTGCACAGCGCTGCAGGATTGAAATCTGAATTGGTTTGTCCACCTCTTCTCCAAAGTCTCCTCTGCCTGTGCCTCTTCCCTGGTGCGCTGTTTGTCATTTAAATAACAAATACCCCCAGTTTTCTGATTTAGTGAGGGGCGCTGGCCTCTGATGTATATTAATATTGCCGCACAGTGCACTGTACCAGAGTCCATCATTCATTTGGATAAAAGAGGTGGAATTTAAAAACAGCCGATGCTGTACAGGGATACAGATTGCATCCATTTATTGCTCTGAGTGATGGAACGGCCGGCCACTCTGTCCTTCACCCCCCCACGCTACCACGTTGCTTCCCATAAAGCCTAAAAAAAAAGCCTCACCCTTGCCCCCTCACCCTCCCTGTGAGAGCGGGCGGGCAGGAACTAGATATCCCTCATTGCTTCTTTCCTAAAACCTGTGGAGAAATTGGGTTATTTCTACTCTGAAAATATGTGTTTTTCAAGTTTTAAAATGGTCAGTTCTAATTCAAAGAAACTTTAAATAAAAAGGTATCGTTTTTTCTCTTCTCTTAAAACAGAATGTGACTGACAAAAGAGCTAAAAGTACTTTGTGAAGTGTAGTTGCAGAAACCTTTAAAATCTTCCATTGCTTTACCGCTGTCAGTTAAAGCCTTTAAGTATTTAGCATTTAAGTTACTTGACGAAATAATAAGCTAATATTACATTTTGAAACCCGAACCGTCTTCAGCAGGTGTTGTGTTTTTCTCTCCTTCTCTTTATATGCGCCCTTGCTCTGCAGTCTATGTTTATTTCCTGAGTGTGGAGTCTGGAGTGCGTCTGTTGTGATTTATCATGCAGTGGGTGTCATCCAATGTCAGTTTCTGTGGCTGCATCTGCTCTGTATAAATCTTTACTTTGGCGTCTCACAGGGCCAGCGCTCTCTCCGGTTATATTAGAGTCAAGGCTTGGAAAGATATCGTGTTTGATTGTTCAAATGGTAATTACTTTTCTGCTTTTAATTTGTGTTTGTGCACGGAAGCCATGCTATTCGCGGGATCCCGGAGAGAGATGTAATCAGGCGAGTGCCACAGAGACAGTTTCCAGCGTGTGACAGTGTGATTTTCAAGTCCGTACTAAGCAGTGTTGCCGGGTGACAGGATGAGGTGTCTACCAGAGTTCCTGTGGGTATTGTGCTGGTTGTACCCAGCTGTTGCTCAGGCCTCTCTCTTTACCTCTTTAGCACTTAGCAGACATTGTGTTGAAGCTAGCTGTGAGAGAACTCATCAAACTGTTTGGATTGGATGAGCACTCCACTTTACAGGTTCAAATTGGCTGCCAAGAACACATCTCACTCTCACTAACCTAACAATACAAATACACTGCTCTCCAAAAGTTCTACACAAAGAACAGCACACCTGTGCTGTAGTGTTGTTTATTCTGCTACACAACAGGGCTTATTTAAAGCAATATTTAATTCGCATTACAACACATTATAATTAGAATGGCATATATAAGTATATTGAACTTAGGAAAAGTGACTCCTCTTTTACTCAATCTAGTGCGCTGATTATATCGTTTTAAGATTATTTTGGTTTTAGGTTGTGGAATAATCAAAAGATGCAATAATTATTTAATCACACTAGTAATGTAATTATTCACGGATTGAATTGAATGATTCAGAATATAAAATGTCACAATTAGGCCTGTTGCGGTTATGAAATTTTAGCTGATGTTTAGTTACCATATAATCAGCTGTGATTAACAGCTGTCTTTTTTGTTAAAGACATGCAACTATTAAAGTATAAGTCTGAAGTAGCCAAATTGGCCGGTTATTTGTCTTTCTTCCCAGCTGTTGATGCTCATTCGCTCCCAACTGATGACAGACACAACTCAAATAAACAAACATTACTCACTGCTGCCCCTAAAGGTGTATAGCAGAGTCACATGTGAGAACTTCTGTTGTTTTCGTAAGACTTATAAAGGTTTCTTTTATTTGCATGTGTTTGCCTTAACCCAGGGGTCAGCAATCCAAATGCTGAGAAAAGCCCTTTCAACAAAAGTCAAACCACCTTGGGAGCCACAACATTTTATGTTCATTTTATTGAAGCAACGTTTTACCATCTTGGCTGTAAATGTGTCTCAGTATGTGCTAGTGTACTAGTATATAAAAAATAAAAGTTTCTCAATGCAGATTAAATTATCAGGAAACAGCTGAGTGCTTATAAATGCGGTCTGTGCATCTCTAAATTATATATGTTCGTCTTAAATCTTTCTCTTTGCCTTTTCGTTAGCTACCAGCTAGGCGAGATTGTTGTTGCTATGGTGACCAGCAGTCTGCACGCCAACCTGCAGGCTAAAAGGGTGAATTAGCAGTTAAGGGCCACATTAACTCCAGCGTTTAAGACCATTTATTGTTAAAACTTAGAATGATCAGCAGAGCTTTATTTTACTGCAAAAAAGGAGTATTTTATTTTTACCTAAAAATCTAATTCTGCTGTAGAGCCACAACAGGGCAGTAAAAGAGCCGCATGTTGCCGACCCCTGCCTTAACCGAACGGATGAAACTCACCCAATTCACTTTCTGTTTGTTGTGATGTAAACACAGGATTGTGAAAGCTAACAACTTTGGAAAGTATTTGCAGTCAGCCCATAAAAAGTCGGATGGAAAAGTTTTAACTCCTCCGGTTAAATTATATATTTTGCTGACTTTCTAATTTAAAATATGCCAACACATCGTCTGCAGAGAACAAACTTAAATATGCAACTTTCATGCAATTCTTAGTGCACAAGATCTGTTTATTTGCTGAGTTTCACATATTAGAAAAAAAGTAAAATATAAAATGTTATATATAAAATCTGTAAATTTGTCACTTTTCAAGAGACAAAAAGTTCTTAACTGTTGATGTTAGTTAATGCAACAAGACTTTATTCGAAATAATTTTGGAGCCTTGGTCATGATATTTTTACATAATGTAAAGGGCAACTGGCATTTTAAATGATGTAAATAAATTAATGAATGAATGAACAAATAAATAAATAATAGTTATTTTTCTAAATATAAATGAAAGATTTTAATAATATAGTTTTATTTGTATGCTCCTTCTGTTTCTGCTCATTACGTAAATAATGCCACAATCCATATGGTTTCACGTGTCACTAGAGCATGACGTTGGTACCCTCAAAACACAGAATCTCATCAACCCATCAGCAAGGGCATACCTGTGGGCTGGCATGCAAAGCACCATGCCAGCTTTCATTTCTATTTTTGGGCTTTCATTAGAGTGTTCTCTCTCTCTCTCTCTCTCTTTCTCTCTCTCTCTCTCTCTCTCTCTCTCTCTCTCTCTCTCTCTTTCTCTCTCTCTCTCTCTCTCTCTCTCTCTCTCTTTCCCCTCCATGCTGTCCTTCTCTATTTTTTCTCTGCCTGTCTTCTTTTACCCTTCTTCTCATTCCTTCATCTCCATCTCTCCCTCTTTTTCTCCCCATCTTTTTTGCCCCTCTCTCTCTCTCTTTTCCCCCATGGTGACAGATCACCTGTGTCTGAGGCCCTGGTGTTCTTGCCCGGCGGTCCGGCCCCCTCTCATTAATGCCCACGCCGGCGCGAGGGCCATATGGCAGCGCAAGACAAATAACGCCAGCGCTCAGCCATCACTTCTGCTGACAGAAATGCAGCCCACCGCACTATTTCGCCCTCGTCTGCTCCACTCTGCACGCTCCTCTCTCCTCCTGCGTCCTTCAAAAGCCCACCACTGAGACGCTTAGAGCCTCTCCCCTTCTCTCCTCTCCTCTTCTTTCCCCACTTCTTCTCTCCTCTTCTCTCATCTTCTCTGCTTTCCTCTCCTTTCCTCTCCCCTTCTCTCATCTACGCTCCTCTCCTCTCCTCTCGTCTGCTCTCATCTACTCTCCTTTGCCCTCCTCTGCTCTGCTGTCCTCTCCCCTTTGCTCATCTTCTCTCCTCTCTTCTCTCCTTTTCTCCTTTCTTTTCATCTCCTCTCCTCTCCTCTTCCCACCTTTCCTTTTTTCTCCTCTCCTCTCCTCTCTGTTACTCACCTCTTCTGCCTCTTTTGTCCAGTAGAAACCATGAGAGTGCTTTGCTTGCATGTTGGCACACAATCATTCATAAAGCCATTATGAATACTGCATAGCATGATAAGACCTGTAATGTCTGATACACATTGAGCAGGGTCTAGTGACAAATACCGGCATTAGCACCTGTGAAAGGATTTGTGAGAGCCACTCAATCATGACCATCATGCTTTTATACTGCAATGGTAGTCACACTGTGTGGTGGGATATCTTATGGTATTTTAAGCATTTATTAAAGCTTATTTCTAAGTCATTTATTTGCGTCAGCTTACCTACTTATGTAGTTTGTTATAGATAGAGCCTTGTAGTGGATTGCATGTTGTGTACTGAAGATTCTGGTTGAATCATTATCTTTTTCCAGCAATATAAATGAAGCAGTCAGTAGTTTCTATTATTTAGTTATTTAAAATTGTAATTTTCTAAACATTTATGCGAACATGTAGCCAAGAGATTTTAACTTTTGTTGCTCCAGTGAGCAGCATCAAGTGGTTTTCCATGGCCGTCCTCCTCCACCCTCTCAAGTGCATGCAGCCTGGCTATATACAGTAGGCCACACAAAGGGCTAATCATTAAATAGCCGTTCTGTCCTATTCATTTAAGTGCATGAATCAGAAGCCTCATTACTGTCAATGTGTAATTAGCTGATTAATAAACAGGGGAAGGCCAGGACTGCAGGAAGTGCTTGATAATTGTTTTTTGAGAGCCTGAACACAAGGGGCCATTAAGATATTCAAATCCTTTCATTCAAGCTAGATCATTATTTTACAGATCCGGCGCTTGTATATCTTCTGTTGATGTGTGATGGCTTCTTTGTTCCTGGAAGTTGTCATAACATTGCTGTGTTCATGGTTACAAAGCTGTGGAAAAAAACAACAATATGCAATTAACTAATGTTTGCAAAATGCCAAAAATGTTGTTTCTTTTAACAGGTGCGTTTCTGTCTACACAGTAATGCTTTAAAGCTACACACAGATTCTAATGAGTTTGCACTGCAGAATTTAAGGGTTTTGACCTTTTCCTAAATATTTGAAGGTCAGATGTTTCACATGGTCATGTGCTCAGTCGTTTCTGAATGTGTAAACCCAAACCTCTGTATTTAACTTCCGATAACTTAAGTGTTTGGTTTTGTTTGGGTTAAGCACAGCTCACAGTTAGCCATCATTCCCTCCAGAAATATTAATCAATGATCCTGCCTTCCTCCCCGCGCCGGATCAGTTTGGAGGGGAAGTCATCTGGAAAGAGGCACAAGCAGATATAATGGGAACTAGCAAAAGCACATGCCAGTGACGGCTGTATTGCCTAATCCTGTGAGACAGGCCAGAGCCACAATGTCAGTTTTAGTTCCCTCCTGAGTCTTCTAACCCAGGACCTCATCTCAAAATGGCTATGTAAGCTGAACAAACTTCTGAAGCGACCAACAAAGACAGCGCACTCTAAATGATGTTTTTATTTTGGAACGTGCGGCCACCAGCATCTCTGATAAGCTTTTAGGTCAGGCATTTTGGTCATTGTGGTATGATGAATGTTGTATGCAGGGGCAGCAGTTGAATTCTGGGAAAGATAATCAACTGTCCATTTTCCTTGTTAAGTAAACATCTAAAAATGTAGCCCTAGTATGTTCAATAATGAAGGTTTCTTACTCTGGTTTGTTGGGCTGACATACAAAAAGTAATATATTGAAAATATATAGTACTATATATTCTGTTTGTATTGTACAATACTATACAAAAGTCAGAGACCACCCTTTAATTTATTTAATTTCCTCAAAACATTACTCAAGATACCTCTAACACTATGTATAATGTCAAGTCTTTCAGTATTAAATTTGTCCATTCTTCTGTGCATCTACTGCTACTTCAACTCTTGCTTTCTTTCAACTCTTGCTTTCTTTCAAACCAGCCAGTTACAGCTGTGTCCTTATAACAAAACCTGTTCCGAAAGGAGTTCCTGACGTTATGCTTCCGTCTAGAGACACTAACGTTCACACAAGCTACTACCCAAACACACTTTAGCTTCCTTGCAAATTTCTTCCTCATATACATATAAAAATATCCACATGCATAAGGAAGGGGTAAGTCAAAGTGAAAATAAAGGGTAAAAAGTTTCCAAAACTGGAGTTCAATAAACTCCTAACAACCTTGCAAGACCTAGAGGACCATCAAAACTGTCAAAATCAGATAAACAGTGCAGCTTTCATCTTGAATCCTGAGAAGCAGAAAATGCAACCAACTTTTAAGACTGATCTTTGGAGCTATGGAAAAATATCCCTGCAGATTTCCTGGCAAAACTGAAAGCAGGAAACTGAATGGAATGGAAGCTTTAATAAAGCAAAGGGTGGACACTTATTTTGAAAAATGTAATGATGTATTCAGTTGTTGAGGGTTCTGTGTAATTTCCTGTTAAAAATATGCTTTCTGCTTTTTTTCCTGGCATTGAAAAATGAATATCTTTACTTAATGGCCATTTTAACTGGAAATAAGATGGATGAAAGAGTTGTTTTTTTTTTGCACCGTCCTGTACTGAAAACACCTAACTACATATTTTATTTTCATAGGGCCAGAAGGCTAATGCCACTTACATTTCTTTCCCTTTCACAGCATACCTCCCCTTTCGCAAGGAGGCCAAGCGAGAAGAGGTCGACCAAGGCCTCACGAAAGCCCCATCCACTCGAGGAGATTGTGCTGTTCCCCTGCCCTCCACTTCACGGACACATTGCTTCATCAAACCAGGGACTTCATTCAGCAGCCACGGGGAGCATGAAGATGACTGACGGAGACACTAGCACTGACAGCTCTCTTTTTGGGCTCAGCTACTCAGGGTGGAAGACCTACGCTAGAGTACTGTCCGAGAGTAATATCTGAATCAGTGCCGCAAGTGTACAAGAAAAATTTTTGGGACATGAACCTCCTGTGTGAATCCCCATTGTGAATTTAGTCTTTCCAAAAAAGCCACCATTTTACAGAAAAAAAAATGCTAATGCAATCAAGCCTGTTAATCACCTTTGGCCATTTTCTCAAGGAGGAGGGCTTGTTTAAGAGCTGTCCCCATTTGTGGGTCAAGATGTAAGCCCAAGGCAGCTCCTGTCTTTAACCCTTGAGTCATCAGCCCACCTGCTAACTGATCCAGCAACTATATTCATTCAAAGTGAGACCGCCTTCGCCTTCCTGGCATTAGAAATAATCACGTTTTTTTCTTTTTTTTCCAGTAGCTTAGTCTATTAGAGAAATCAGTCTATAGTAGCTCATCACAAAGCTCTGCTACCTCACGCTGGGACAAAGTTCAGAAGAGCACCCACCGAAAAAGCGGCTCAAAAACACAGGCCCCCTATTAGCATGGATATAAAACGCTAGAGTGCTCTAAAAACACTCATTAGCACAACAGAGTGAGTGTGTGTTTCTGCACCCTCCGGGGCCTCCACCCACCACCCACCCCCCCGCTTTCACCCTCCAGATTCAAATGTTCACACATGAAAGTTTTGTGCAGCCCAGTGCTTGTTCAAACGTGCAGTTTAATTGTAAAGTAGTGAGTCGAAACTGGGTGGTGGCCAAGTCTTAATGTTTAGCTGAAAGCTAGTCTAATTCAGTTGTTTAGTGTTTTTAGTTGTTTTAGTACGGGTGGGCAATATGATGATATTTATCGTTGTTTTGATAAATTACTTCACAATATGCTTTTCTGAGCATATCATGGATACAGTCTTAAGGCTGCAGATTTTTTGTTAAAACTGAAAGAAGTAACATTAATGAGTAAGGAGAAAAAAGATGCTAGAGTATGGTATCTGGGTTGCTGCGAGTTTTTCAGCCGACAACATACATCTTTACAAATTAACGTCACATGCACAGGCTCGAAAAGGAGCTCCAGCTCAATGTTTAGGTCTCAAATGCAAAACTAACATCATACTACTGCAGATATGATGACAACAGTAGATAATTCACTCACATCCTTAGAAGACTCACCAAGTTTTGGGTGAGTTCTCTTTGAATACACTTGCAGCACACTTGCAATCAGAATCATCCATGTGGGGAAGGGGTCTGAAGTACAACCAATGTTACAAAATGCTCTACTGTACGTTGTGTGCTGTTGCACCTTTCCACCAGAAAGACCTCCAAAACTTGCGTAGGGTAGCTTTAAAGGACACCGACCAGCTGCATGTTTCATTGCTAAGAGACAATAATTAATCCAGTTTAATGGAATTTAGTGCAACGCTGGGTGTAAAACATGGAACTAAAACCATTGTATTCATAATTTTTGTTAATCATTTCTAAACATGATGCTACTCGTTCTATTTTTATCTGTTCCAACTTATCAATTCTCAGAAAACATATTGTGAAATATTGTGATGGATATTGTGGATCATGAAAGTGAGGTATTGTGCTATATTTTGCCATATTGCCCACCCACGAGTGTTAGTTAGCATGAGTTTTTAGATTTTCATTGTGAGCATGGAGTTGTTGTAAATGTGTTACAGTCAGTCAGAGAAGCCTTTGTGTGCTTAATCTTGCCTATATCACTTAAAGCAGCAGGTGTTAATGTTTTACAAATACACAGCAGACTACAGTATATTTAATCAGGCATGGGCTGCTTTTTGCTTGTGTTGACGTTTATAAATGGACCAGTGTGGACCTGTAGACAGCTGTAGTAAGCATTGTGTCCCTTTTCCACGGCTCTTTCCATCTTCATGACCAGCTGCCTTTGTGATGTGGGGGAATTGACAGATAGGTTGGTATATTTTCTTATCACGTTTTGTCAATCGTCAAAGCGATTGCCTCACCTGCCTCCGGCTGTAATTAGTCGTTGCCATGACAACATCACTCGATGAGCCCCTCCTCCCTTAGCCTGTACGGCCTGAAATGAGTTTTGTCGGCGGGGCAGGAAGTGAGAGCGGGGGGACGACGCGTGCGCCCAGTCAATCGCCTCAGCTACAGTTAAGGAATCCAGTGGGTTGATGCTGCTCATATTTCATCCTTGGTAAAGATTACCTGTCAGCCCCAGAGGAGATGTATTGATCTGTTTTCCTTTTTTTTCTGCCAGCAATCACCTGACAAAGGCACCTAGGAGTGCGGGAGTGAGTGATGCCCGTTCACGTCTCCACCCCAGTGTGCTGGATTGGGGGCTTCCAGTGACCACTCACACTGGAAGATAATGCCATCATAAACTCTACGTGAACTTGCACATCACATCAGGAACAACATACAGATTCTAGTCATCATTGAGGACCTTTGGTTTGGACTTTATTTCTTTCTCAAATAAGATGATGGTTAAATGGCTCAGTAGTGGGCAACTGTCCTAAGTATCTGTTGGGGTCTGGTTTCGAAGAGTTAACCCTTAGAAGTCTAGGGTTTTTAAGTGTACTTATGTATTTATTTACATAGCAAGTTACACATTAAATTACATTCTGTATCAACAGGTTTGCACTTCTGACCAACAGTAACACGAATATGGCAACAATGACTTTTCATCAAATTCAAACCATAATGCAACATTTCCTCTTCTGTTTACAAATACAATATTGAAAGAAAGTTTAAGACGCACACTTTCAGTAGAAGTTCCCTGCTTGTTTTAGTGAGCTGTGGGTAAGAAATAATTGATATCGAACACCAAACTTTTGTTTTCATCTGTGATAACTGCGACTTCTAAGAGTTAATGGTAAAGGAGGGAAGGTGACTTGGGTTAGGCTGGTGTTAAAGACACACATCTCTCTTATTATATTGTTAAAAATGGCTTAATAGATGTAGATCTTACTCCCTTCATGATTCAATCCAAGTGAAGCATTAGAGTATAGGATAATGCTATGCCTAACACAAAGCCCTCTGCAGCACTGAGAACATTCTGCATTAAAAAAAACTCAGTGGCGTATGTTGTACATGACAGCTTTGTGCTTAAATTTGTGCAGATTTCCTGGCAGCTCAATATCATTGTTTATTTTTTGAATGTTGAGAAAATAACCATATGAATAAATGCAGTACTATATACTGTAATAACTCTTGCGTATATACACTGAACTTTGAGTTCATTGGGTGCACCTATCTTGTTGCTGCACTCACTGGCCGTTTTATCTGATACACCTAAAATATAGGTGCACTTTGCAGGCGTACAGTTGCTGACTGTAGCCCATCTGTTGCTGTACAATTTGTTTTAGTCGTCCTCTATTCTGTCCATCAGTCGAAAGGGACCACTAGAGGACAGTTGCTGACCAGATATTATTTGGGTGGTGGACCACTCTCAACACAGCAGTGACATTCACATATCAGTGCCATGGCAGTGGCGCTGTTATGAGTATATCAGGCACATCTTACACATTTTAATGTCACTGCTAGGTTGAGAGTGGCCTACCGACCAAAGATATCCAGCCAACAGTGATCCTGTGGTTTAAAGATATCTGTAACATTTTATGCATGGAAAGTGATTGGCTGATATTGAAGACCTGTGGTATCATCAGTATCGGCAAAAGTATTGCCTATAATGCCTATAATAAAATAAGAAGTGCAAAATTTATCCAGACCTAACCTTTAGCACGAGAATATGTTATAATACACACAAAAACTTTTTTTGTGATGAGAACTAATGTAAAATACGAAAAAAAAGAGATAACAGAAAAACACAAAGAATTCTGGGTCCCTGATGCCACAATATTTATACTATTTAAGACCATGTGTTTCTGCTGTTTATTTGTGTTTAAGAAAGTGACAATTGAAAACCGACAATCTCTGTCTATAGAGCACTGTTTAACTAAAACTATTGGAATATAAAATTCAAAATGTAGGTTCTAAAAATAATTTTTAGCCCATTAAAACCAGTAATTAATACTGGCCACAAAGTGTTCATATGGGTCCATCTATCAAAATAGGCGTGTCTAATAAAGTGGCAACTCTGTGTATTTTGTGTTTCTCCACTCCATCCTCAGTATCAGCCTCCAGTCCTACACTTTTGTCCTTCTATTTATTACACATCAAATGCTTTATGCTGGTGTTTGACAGAAGTTATTGTAGATACGTAGATATGTAGTAATAACCATACATTGGGCATGTATTATGCAGTGAACATTGAATCTAATCATGGAAGAATTGGTTTCATTTATTAAGTGGAACATTGTGTATTGCACTGAACGAAACATGTCGGTATCATCTTTGGGCAGCTATTTATTAAGGTATTGAATATGGAACCACAACAACAATATATCATAACATGTCAGTACAGTATATGTGTAGTAATGGCTGTGAAAGCATGCATATTCAGAGTACTTGTCAAGTCATATCAGTAAGAGTGTCAGTAGATGTAAAACACAGTTTTGTCGTGCTGAGCTTGACTTAAATATCCAAAATCTGTGAAACATACACTTTAGTAACTAATGCCATAATCAACATGTTCAGAACATTATACTTAACCAGACAATGTTATTGCACAAAATGTGGGACATGCCATCATCAGTCAGTATGTTGAACACTTTCAGTTTAGTTGTTGGGAAAGACCTTGATGTAGTGGTCAGTATTTGTATGCCCATTCTGCTTTTCATTTTTGGCCAATAATGTAAAGGATGTGAAGTAATGAAGAATAAAAATATAATTGGAGGATAATTTGTAGCCTTGTTTTGTTTTACGTGCACATTGTTGACTGGTGAGAAAATATCATATATATTAATTTTGTTTGTGCCAGTACTCTTTCTTTCGTTTTCTTGACTTTAGTCATGAAGCACCTTATGGAACTGGCTTGTAACCAGGGTTTTTATAGTTAACTAAAACTATTGCTAAAATGAAAACTAGCAGTGAAAAAATGTGCTCATCAACTGTAATAAAAATAAAAGCCACAGTTTTCAAAAACGCAAAAACTAAATCAAAACTATAATATAGAGAAAAAAAACTTTAGTTTTTGTTTTTTCAGTGTGTGAATGAGAGTTTAGAAGTGAAACTCTTCTGTGTTTGGTCATCTTTAAGGAAATTTAATTTTATTGTACTCTTAAATACCTACTATCACAGTGTTCATCATAATACTGAAAACAAAGCTAAAACTATTTATGCACCCCTAAGACCAACTGAAACTAAACTAAAATCAAAACCAAAACGAAAAAATAGAAACTAATGAAAATTCTAAAACCTCTAATAACACTGCTTGTAAATCACTCATTCATATTTAGCAGGCTGAGAATTCTCCACAAGGGGGCAGCAATAGCAGCTTTTAGTGCTTAGTGTAAGCGGTGCTTTGCGTCTTTGACACTTTGTGTTTTTGTTCTTATTCTTGGCACAAACAAGGTGCCACAAAGGGTTCTTTGAGTGACGCCATAGAAGAAATACTTTTGGTTCTTTTCAGCAGTGGTTCTCAAACTGGTCCTCAGAGAAGACAGTCCTCTTTTGCTCTATTTTTGTGTGCTACAAGTTAGGCTGGAGCAAAATATCTGCACCGTATAGAGTTTCGTGAGCACCAGTTTGAGAACCACTGCTGTAAAGAATCAGGTATGAACAAGAGATTTGTGAATGTGAATATCAATTTAAAAGATAGAAGAACCTTCATTCACCTAACGTAAAGGCTCTGAACCAATGTAAGGACTCTTCCTACAACATTTGCATTATTTGGAGGTTTTCACACTCACATATCTCATTTATAAAAATAGTTTTCCAAAGAACCATCCTTTGAAAGGTTCTTTAGGGAACCAAAAGTGTTTTTTCTATCATCCAGCACCATGAAAAGAACTCTTTTTTTGCACCTTTGAAGTATAGAGCTTCTATATATTATCAGAACTGACTGTTATAAATCTGTTCACTGTCACGTCAGATTTCTGAGAGGGTTCTAGCATATTTCTGCCTTGCAGGCCATTTGAACTCTTAGGTCGGAGCTTCTGAACTGTAGGACCTGCAGTACATACTGGGCCATAAGTTAAACGCAGACTCCATCCATGTGCTGTTAGACCACTCTGGGCTCTACAGTGCACTCTTCTGTTATGAGGTAAGAGTACATTTCCTGTGCCTTTTAAATTGCTCAGACAGACAAATGACTCCAGGCTTGTGGCCTAAACTCAATCATTAGGTGGCCCTTGGTTAATCTCCTAGCCTGGACAAGCACTGAAGACGTACACTGCCCCTTTCCTCTTGCGTCAAAAGCTGGGCAATTCTGTGCTTACCATTGGTCCAGAGTTACAAATCACATCTTCAGATGTCCGTCAGCCGCTCTGCCCGCTTCTCTCTCCCCGCTTTGCTTTTCTCCTCCGGAAGATTGATGGAGAGATGGAGGAAAAATCAATGCTTTCCTGCAGCGGCAGCGAACAAGCTTTGTCATGTTTAAGAGTAGCTGATGTGCAGGCACGGCTTTTTCCTGGATCTCCACCGCCGTTGCCTTGTGCCCAGCTGAGCGAAAGTGGCATGGAGAAACAGACATGACAGAGTGGCCAGCTTTGATTTACTCTAATCTCCGGATCTCTCTCTCTCTCTCTCTTTCTCTCTCTCTCTCTCTTTCTCTCTCTCTCTCTCTCTCTCTCTCTCTCTCTCTCTCTCTCTCTCTCTTTCTCCCCCTCTCTGACTGATACTCATACACTCTCAGGCCTCACATTACCAGTCAAAAGTTTAAACACACCTACCTATACAAGAGTTTTCTCATTTTTGTATTGTTTGCATTTTAGAATAATAGTGAAAACATCAAAACTATGAAATAACACATATGGAATCATGTGGGGACCTTCTATCTCCTGTTTTAGATTATTTTAGAAATTATTTTCGAGCAGCTTCATGAGGAGTCACCTGAGACCCTTTTTACACCTGGTCACTTCATGTGACTGATATCTGGATTGTATCCTGATATGATTCTAGCCACACTCGGTAGTCCAGTTAGTCGGACTGAAATCGGATTGCTGTGTAGGATGGAATATGCAAATCCACTCATTACGCAGCAACCAGTTACCAATTGTTTATCCGCTCAGCCTCTTCATCTGCAGTTTGTTTTGCACAGTAATAATAAGATGTGTCCATATTGCTGTCAAGCATCTTTTTTCATCTGGTGTGATTATCTTCGTTGCAAACACGGATCACGTGCCCAGTGACATACTGTGTGGGGAGGAGTTTTGCTCGTCAAGTGTGTCTTGAAGAGACAAATGCATTTACACTACCATAATATGTGGCTCAGATGTGTCTCAGACCATCTCCTGAAGTGGTACGAACGATCGAATTTGTATCTGTTTTAAATGGATCTTGGGTGCATTTACACTCATTTTTATGTGGCTTTTGGCATCATCCTGACATAATCTTGATACTCAAGACTCATGAAGTGACCAGGTGTAAACAGGGTCTGAGATGCTTTTCCAGCAGAACTAAAGAAGATGCACATTTGCTAAAACCTTGTAACTGAAAGCTATTTGTTGACAGGTATTTAACATAAATGCGTACTGTACTGTTTTAGGCACCTGAGAAAAGTATATTCAAAAAGCTATATAGTTGCGCAGTATTTATTTGCTCAGAAAAAAACACTAATATTGGAATAAATACAAATAATATTAGCACAGTAAATAGTCATTTTATGAATGTCAGTGTGTCCGTTTAACTATTTCCAGACGTCTCCAGTATTAATTATCATCCAATGTCTACTTTGGTTATTCAGTCCTCCATTAACTTAAATCAGGAGTGCTGGTGAAGGAATTTAAACTGGGGACATTGAGGAGAAATCTGGAACCAAACCGTTCTTTTAACTCTTATGTCTACTTTTTACTGTATTTGTGTTTATTCATATTTATCCTGATGTTTACTGACAAAATAGAAAATCAACAAAACATGTAATTTACACATACTGCGTGAAAGTAAGTAAGTTTAGATCATTTATCTCAACATTAGTTCTAAGTGAAAATAAGTTAACACATCCTCTACTGAGAACACATCCTAATGCACAATCAGTTTATTTGCTGAATTTTTCAGATTGGGAAAACGTAACATAAAATGTAGCCTATGTAAAAGTTATGACTCATTTGGTTTTATTTTCTTCAAATATGCTAAATAAATAGAACTTTTAATATAAGTTCACTAATTGTATTTGTCTTTGAAATTTTCACTTGCATTTAAGTCTTTACATCAAAATACAGTGTATGGACAAAATTATTGGGACACCCCTCCTAAATACTGAGTTTGTGTTTCAGCCACAGCCATTGCGAACGGGTGGATTAAATTACACACATAGCCTTGCAGTCTCGATAGACAAACACTGGCAGTAGAATGGGTCATACTGATGATCTCAGAGACTTTAAATGTGGCACTGTCATAGGATGCCACCTCACAAAGTCAGTTGGTGAAATTTCTGTCCTGCTAGAGCTGCCCCTGTCAACTGTAAGTGCTAGGATTGTGAAATGAAGGCACTTAGGAGCCACAATAGCTTAGCCACGAAGCAGTAGACCACGCGATCTCACAGAGTGGGGAAGCTGTTATAGCTGAAAAGGGGGACCGTATCCATATTTATGCCTATGAATTTAAAATAGGATGCCATAAAAACTCCTGTAGGTGTAATGTGGTGTCCCAATACTATTGTCCATATAGTGTATCTTTATCATTATGAAAATGCATGTTCATTTAGGTGTCCAAAATTTGACTGGTATTGCAGACTGAGAGGTTATGTTGGATGTTGTCAATGTATTAAAGGATATAAATGAAATACATTAAAGTTTGTTTTCAGTATATTACATTTTATATAGGCTTTCTGTTTGAATGTGAATGGGCAGAGTTGCCACAATATATAGTCAGTGGGTGGTGAAGAGGGCAGTTTGGGTCCACTGGCATTTTTCAAACCAGCAGCTCAAACTTCAACTCACCTCCCTCTTATAACTACATAACTTACATAGTTGTTAATGAATAATAGACGTAAGATTAATAATTGAATAAAACATAATACTCAAGCAGTTTACAGATTCATTCTCAGCACATTTTGGTGAAATGATCTAGTGGTGATTTGTAGTTATTATTCAGTGTAAGTACATTTGCATTCTTCTGTGTTTTGGTGAATTACCTGAGCGAATCTCTACCTTTTTTATGTACCTGATTGCTCTCTGCAATTGATGCTGTTTATCCCACCATTTTATTCATCTCCTCACTCACTTGCTCACTCTGTCACTTGCTCATGCGTGTGTTCTTGTTTGCTTCTCGCCTCCTCACCCTTTTCTCACAGCATGTCCCCTTTCCCACCTCTCCTCAACCCCCCCCTCCATACAGCATCACTTCCATTTCTTTTCATTCTTTCTGGCATTCTAATCAGGCCTCTGCGAGCTTGAGCGCATGAAGTACGCAGGAAGTTGTGTTTCCTGACAGCCAATAAAAACCCAATAATCTCCTCGATTCAAGTGGCCTCATTTTAAAAAACACTAACTAGTGCTATCACTCAGCCCCCTTCCTTGTTCTGTCATTTCCCTCTCTCTCCCTTCTCCCTTTAATGCCCTTTTTTATTTAATATATAGCCCATGAAAAATGAGAGACTCCTGTCTTGGCGTGTAGATATTTTGTTGCTGATGATGCGCGACGAATTTCCATCACAGCTTTGTTTCCAGCGGGCAAGCGGATAATCTTTTACAGCGTGGGGAGGGAGAGCTGCACGTCCATCAATCTCTCGCGCTTATG